CTTTCTTTAAGTTTTCTATTCCTGAAAATTCTTGGGTTTATGACCACTGCACCATAGTTTATGTGCCATCATTTATTTTAGAAAATAATTCCTTCAGAGTATATGCAAGCAAAATACTAACCCATGTGGGCCCTTGTCTTTGGGCTGCTATAACAAAATACCATAGACTGGGTAGCTAATAAACAATAGATATTTCTTTCTCAGGGTTCTGGGAACTGGGAAGTCCAAGATCAGGTACCAATTTGGTGTCTGGAGAGAGCCTGGTTCCTCATTCAGTGACAACCATCTTTACACTGTGTCCTTACCGCCCACGTGGTGGAAAAGGTGAGGCATCTTTCTGGGGTCTTTATTTTATAAGGACACTAATCTAATTTATGAAGTCTCTGCTGCTAAGACCCAATCACCTCCCAAAGACCTAATCATTTCCCAAAGACTTCATCTCCTAACACCATCATATTAGGAGTTAGGATTTCAACATATGAAATTTTGGGGGGACACAAACCATAGCAGCTGTCATCTTTCAAGAATGAGAGCTGGGCAGTACCATCTGCCTGCTGTAGCACAGGTGAATGAGAACTGTTTCTGGAGCTGGTTTAGACTGCACTGCTACTCCACTGCCCCAATGCCACCTTCTCCACTGCCAGCTGGTTTCTCAGCCCAGCAGTTACTGACTTGCTAGGATAGAAGACCATACACAGTGGCACTGGATAAACTGAGGTGCAAAAGTACAGCACAAGAATACCAGCTGAAAAGGCATTCACTGGAAGTCAAAAGAGCTCACAACAGGCAGCAATGAAAAAGGAAACTGAAGAAACCTTGGGTGGGGAGGATATATACATATATATTTGAGGGAGGTACAGAATTCTGAAACTTCAAAAAGAGCTCTTTTCTTTTTCTAAATTAAAATCTATTTTTCATGTTTGTACTTTATTTTTTACTATTATTCATTTTTTAGAAATTTTATTTTTTAAACCATCCTGACCTCAGACATTTTTTAGTTTTTATATTTTTTTGTCTTTTTCACCAAATTCTAACAGAGACAGATCAATTAACAAAATTTAATTCAAAGCAGACAGGGGTGAACTAGATTGAGTGTGCCTCTCCTGTTGGGTAAAACTTGGGCTGTCCACAGTCCCATTTCCCAGAGATTTCCGAGAGGTTGCGCATAAAGGTCTTGCTGTCTAACTGAAGAAAGATGCTGGGAATGAGTTCTGTGATCCTGCTCTGTTGTCAGGTTGGTTTCACCACCAAGGAGCCCACTATACCTCTCCCATGGAGACACTGCTGGGTTTCAATGTGTTTTTTATTCTCTTGGCTGCCTGAGCATATGGCCATCACTGTTTCCATTGTGAGCTCTTCCCCTTTGGGAACTGAGCCCAAGTTCAGGGAACATGTGCTCAAGACCAACATTTGGCAGACTGGGTCCCCACTTGAAGTGACTTCCCACCTCTGCCTCTCCTGCCATAGAGACACTTTCCTGCATCTGGACGTGGAAAAGCAGTGCCCAAGAGGCTTAGTTCTAAAAGCCAATTCCTATCCCTGCTGGCTCACATGGATGAGAGGCAAAACAATCCACAGCCAAATTCAGAGCCCAGGTTACTAGATTAAGACAAAAATTATTTCCATCCCTCCCTTGTCACCAAATGATCAAGGCCATATGTACTCACAGCATCAATGGGCACAGTTTCCTGGAGAAAATTTCTCTTTGCATTATCTACCCAGTTAAGAATTTTTATGAGAAATTCTACTTTACAGTTGAAAAACTTGAGCATCCTAATTATGGGGACCTCATTTTATAGAACAGATGAAAGGCTGTAAGTCAGGGATTAAATACCTTCCCCACACCCACATAGGAAGTTAGTGGCAGAGTTGGTACTAGAACCCAAGTACTTGAATATCCACACCCAAGTTTATTCTATCATACCAAGTAATTAATAAGGACAGTCTTTTTTTTACATTTTTAAATCAAAGTATACATAAAGTACACAGATCTTAAGTGTAGACCTTAATTTTGACAAATGTTTATACCCATGTAATCAATACACCAATCAAAACATAGAATGTTTCTATCATCAGAGAGTCCTCTTGTGCTTCTTTCCACTCAATCCCCTGTTCCCCTCACCCTCACCCCCCACCAGATAACACTCACTGCTCTGATTTCTATCCCCTTTGATTCACTTTGGGAGGCTCCAGTTTTAAGAAATAAAAATTATGAATTCACATGTCTTTGCCTGCAGCCCTGAAGTGTCTCTTTGCAGAATCTCTCTCTCACTTTTGGACCACAGGTACTAAATTTATGATTTGCCTTGTGGTATAAGTGTTCTATTAAAAAAAAAAAGATTTGCTTTGGATCCATCTAAACAGCCTTACGGGAAGTCTTAGCCGCAGTACTGACATATTTGGGTGTAAAGGGATCCACGTTCATAGGATGTGAAGGCCAATAATGATTCCCCAATATGGGGTATAAAAAGAACTCTTCTTTTTGGAAAATAAAGGTGCTTTCTCTAAAATGTCTGTCTTTGGCTCTTTCGGCATCCAACCATTCCTTCAGGATAGCTGCCTATGGAAAGAATTGCTTGAGCCCTTGAAAGTAAGCACATATGTATTATCTTCTTAGTTGGAAGCCGTTTCCTAGTTTCAATAACCTTTCTCCTGCAGGGGACTCATTCTAACAGCTCCTCTGGCTTTCCCAGATGCCATCCTGGGATGGCAGTGGCAGCTGAAAAGATAACATTGTCCTAAGCCATTTAACTAACCAGGATGGAGTCTGTGTTTTTTTTTTTTTTTTTTTTTTTTTTTTTTTTTTTTTTGAACGTTCTTCTGCAGAAGAGTCTGTGTTTTAGAAGCTGGAAAATTTTAGCTAAGCCTTGCTCAGAACATTGTCTTAAAGCCAAAAAAAAAAAAAGTTGCTAAGGTCTGGGTGGCGGCATCTTTCCACCAGCCACAGACACTACACCAAATCAGACGGCCTGCGTTTCTTTCCAGTGGAGGCCCTGGCAGCCAGGCTGGGTCATTTTCTCCACAGCAGCTCCGTCTCCCAGACAGTGAGCTCATGCTTGGCGCTGATGAATTCCATAACGCAAGGCATTTATCCCCATGCTTTTGAGGCAGAAATGACTGCATGAAATAGATACACAAAATTATTTAAATCAAGCCAAGTTTTAAAAATGATAAAAATACAAATTATGCAGTCATAATATTAGAAGTCACTTAGGAACACAGACAAAGTGGCAATGCTTAAAGTGTAAACTTCCCCAAGAGAGCCAAATTCCAGAATACGTTTGTTAGTAAAGAGGGAATTCTGTGGAATTATGGGCTTAGCTCCCTATGCGTGTTGTGAGATTCCTTCCTCCCTGTACTTCTGACCGTTTTGTGGTATATTTCTACAGTGTTTTTCCAGCCTCTATTCTGATGCTTAAATTTGAGGGTGTTTTTTACATGTAGGGGATTTTTGGGGTGCAAATTTGACAAGCTTACCATAAAATTTTAGAATAAAAAGATATTATCCCTTTACATTCTTATAAATTTTTATCCTTTAAAATAAAATCTCACAAAAGACAGAGATGCACAATCCTTTGTGGATAAAAGCTCCTGCCAGTACAGGTATCCTAACTGCTGTCATAATGTGAGATTTCAGGTCAGGTAAGAGAAACTCAGATTAAAGCAGAATATTGGAGCGCCTGAATTTCAGGTAGTGGTGTTTTTTAAATCTTTCTTTCTTTCGTGCTATATAAAAGGATTTTTTATGGGAAAAAAACTTCAAGGGTAACTTATTATGACATATGTATTACTTCTGTAATTAAAAAAAGATTTAAGTACATAGTCACACAAAAACTTGTATATGATGCAGAGTACAATGGCTCATGCTTGTAATCTCAGCACTTTGGAAGACTAAGGTAGAAGGCTTGCTTGAGGCTAGGAGTTCAAGACTAACCTGGGCAACATAGGGAGACCCTGTCTCCACAAAAAAATTTAAAAAATTAGCCAGGTGTGATGGTGTGTGCCTCTGGTCCCAGCTACTTAGGAGGATGAGGCGTGAGGACTGCTTGAGCCCAGGAGTTCGAGGCTGCAGTGAGCTAATGATCGTTCCATTGTACTCCAGCCTGGGAGACAGAGCAAGACCCTGAATCAAAAAAATAAATTAAAAACTTGTACATGAAATGTTCACTTGCAACACTATTCATAAGAACCAAAAAGGGAAAACAACCCAAATGTCCATTAACTGATGACTAGATAATCACGTATATCCATACATATGTCATTTTTATTCCATAAAAGGAATAAAGTACTAATTCATGCTAAAACATGATAGTCTTCAAAACATTTTTATGTAAAGTGAAAGAAGCCAGTCACAAAAGACCAGATATTGTATGAATCCATGTACATAATATGTTCAGAACAGGCAAATATATAGGCACAAAATAGAATACTGGTTGCCCTAGGGCTAGGGGAGTAAAAGAGAAATGGTAACTGATTGCTAATGGGTACTGAACTGGGTTGAATTGTGTCCCCCAAAATTTCATGTCCACCTAGCACCTCAGAATGTAACCTTATTTGGAAATAGGGTATTTGTAGATACAGTTAAGATAAGATCAGTCTGGATGAGGATGGGCCAAAATCCAGTAACTGGGGTCCGTACAAGAAGGCCATGTGAAGACACAGAGACACAGGGAAGGCCATGTGAAAACAGAGGTGGAAACTGGAGTGAGCTACAAGCCAAGGACTGCCAGGAGCCAACGGAAGCTAAGGAGGAAGCAGGGAAAGATTCTTCCCCAGAGCTTTTAGAGGAAGCATAAGCCCCATCAACGACTTGATTTTGGATGTCAGACTCCAGAACTAAGAGGGAATAAACTGCTATTGTTTTAACCCACCCAGCTTATGGTACTTTGTTAAATGGCCCTAGGAAACGCATAGCATAAAGTTCCTTTGGGATGCAAATATTCTAAAATTGAAGGCTACACAACTCTATGGATATAATAAAATTATATACTTTAAGTGGATGAATTATTTAATATATGGTATGTGAATTGTATTTCAAGAAAGTTCTTACTAAAAAATATTTAAAGTTATAAAATGATGAAGAACTGACAGGGACTTTGAGTAAGCCCAACATGGGGAGCTAACATTTTTAGTCAATTGTTCAAGGCATAAAGAAGTTGAGAGTTAAATATCAGATATATTTATCTATTTATTTTCTAGAGATGGGCATCTTGCTACGTTGTCCAGGCTGGACTTGGAGTTAAAACAAGATGGTTTGCTAGGTCTATATTAGGGCCTTTCAGCTTTTTGGGCTGAACTCTCTTGGCTGAAAGTCAGAAAACTGACTCAAATAGGCTTAATCAGAAAAATAATATTAATAGGAATTTGTCCCACATATTGAAGTCTAGGGTAGGCACTGGCTTCAGGCATCCAAACACTGTCACTGGATCTTTGATTTTCTTCCCTGTCTCATTCATTGTTGCCTTCGTTCTCAGCTGGCTGTCTCTATGTGGTGGAAAAGATGGCTTTTGGCAGTTCCAAGATTATGTGGCCCCATAGCTCTAGATCAAAAGAATCTTTCCTAATAGCTCTGAGAACAATTCCAGGATTGTCCAGGGCTGGCTCACAGGCTCATTCCTGAATCCAAGGAGTTAAGATCAGCTTCAACCAAGTCCGAATAGATACAGCAGGATCACTGAAAAATGGAAAAAGGATGGCTTCCCAAAGGAAGCCATGAGAATACAAAATATATCTTCACTATGCCAGGCGAAGCTGTAAAGCTTGCAGAAATTAAATATCATTCATCTCAATAAATATTTGCTGAATTAATGTAGGAACACATAAAACAGAGCTGCTGCAGAGTACTTCAAACTGTAACCTCATATTTTAGAGAAGCAATAAAACACAACTGAAGTCAGATACTAAGGTCATTAGTAAGACACCACTTTAGGAGAGAGCTACTTCAATCAAGTATGGATTGCTCTATGTTCCAGATCCCACATTACACAAAAGAGATGCAGTGCTCTGAGAGAAGGCTTTTTCCACGCCACAATTTAGCCTAAGACTTGCCCATCATGAAGGAAGAAGGCTGTTCAATATGAAGGGTCCTGTAACCAGCAAATAATTCGGAAATGTTTCCTTCTCATTTAAACTGGTGATAATCTGGTGGGTTTCTGATCCAGGATGCAAATGCCTGCTTCCGAAGCGTGCTCCAGGCTTCCTGGTAAGCAGATGCAGCCTCCTTGTACTCCTGGTAGGTATCCAGCTTCTGCACCCTAAAGCACACACCACCAAACACACAGGTTCTCACACAACAGCTCACCCCCAGGGGCCAGCCAGACACCTGAGCAAGCAACTGGACAAATTTACAATAAGAGGCTTAGAAACAGAAGGATTTTAGTATGCTTTTGTGAAAGTTGATCATACAAACTGGGTCATTCTTATTACAGCCAACTAAAACAGAGTTGAGAAGCTGGGGTAAAAACACTCAGGGCATATAACATTGTTCCAAGAATTTAATTCTCTGCAAGCCTGGCTGCTGAAACTGCCTGCTATAACCTGAAACCAGTTTTACCCAAGAGCTACTGAAACACAACCTGCTGTAACTTCAGTTATAGCCACTGCTGTCACTTACCAATCAGAACTTGCCAGCTACCCAAAACTTCACTAATGCCAATTAAACTTACTTGAACAACACATAACGTTTCTCTATTTTAATAAGACCTCTAACCTTCTGTTTTTCGGACATACTGAAGACCACCCCAGTCTATGTGTATGCCCCAAACTGAATTCTTGTATTCTAAATAAAATGTTAAATTTAGAAATGTGTCCTGGCCGGGTGCGGTGGCTCACGCCTGTAATCCTAGCACTCTGGGAGGCTGAGGTGGGAGGATTGCTTGAGGTCAGGAGTTCAACACCAGCCTTAGCAAGAGTGAGACCCTACCTTTACTAAAAACAGAAAGAAATTAGCCAGACAACTAAAAATAGAAAAAATTAGCCAGGCATGGTGGCACACGGCTATTGTTCCAGCTACTTGGGAAGCTGAGGCAGGAGGATCACTTCAGCCTAGGGGTTTGAGAGGTTGCTGTGAGCTAGGCTGACACCACAGCACTCTAGCCTGGGCAACAGATCTCAAAAAATCTTTTCTAAGGGTCTTTAACGTCCACCAGAAGATGTAGCCATTAGAAATTTCTTGCTTGTATTTTTCCTAACCAACAAAGAACTTTCCATCTTTTCCATATGCTCCTGGCTAAATATAATTGGCCAACGCCCCTTTACAAAACCCTTTCATCTCTGATTGCTGAAGAATGGCTGACATGCTGCATAATATTTGTGATACTCATATCCAGTTAAAAGATTTTCTTCTGACAAAGACTCTTCTTTGAGCAAACTTGAGTCAGGCTCCTGAGGCCACTCTTTGATTAGGCCCCAACCTTGGGCTGTCATTGGCTCACTTAGTCTAGTTTTGCAAGAATCCTGCTGAGTCAGTTTAGCAAAAACTCCCAGATGCTTGCTGTCTGATCACCCTAAATATCTGATCAAATTTCTCACCCAGCACCTTGATATCTTATCACCCTGGCCTTGATGTTTTCTCTTAGTAATTTTCTATCTACTCACCCCCACCCTGCTCCTTCACTATAAATCTCCACTTGTACCTATATTTGGAGTTGAGCCTAGTCTCTTTTCCCTACTATAAAACCCCACTACAGTAATCCCTCTTGAGTAGTCTTCTTTACCATCTTTAACAAGTGTCTAAATAATTTTTTCTTTAACACTTCTGAAGCCCACACATCTCACCTGCAGGATAAATGTTTATCAAATAAAAATGTAGCTATAGGCCAGGCGTGGTGGCTCACGCCTGTAATCCTAGCACTCTGGGAGGCCAAGGAGGGTAGATTGCTCGAGGTCAGGAGTTCAAAACCAGCCTGAGCAAGAGTGAGACCCCGTCTCTACTATAAAATAGAAAGAAATTAATTGGACAACTAATATATATAGAAAAAATTAGCCGGGCATGGTGGCACACGGCTGTAGTCCCAGCTACTTGGGAGGCTGAGGCAGCAGGATTGCTTGAGCCCAGGAGATTGAGGTTGCTGTGAGCGAGGCTGACGCCACGGCACTCACTCTAGCCTGTGCAACAAAGCGAGACTGTCTCCAAACAAACAAACAAAAAAATGTAGCTACAAAGATTTGCACATGGTGGCATGCACCTGTAGTTCCAGCTATTCAGAAAGCTCACTTGAGCCCAGGAATTTGAGTCCAGCCAGGACAACACAGAGAGATCCTGTCTCTTAAAAAAAAGTAGCTACCAGTTATCAAAAACCCTACTACAAAAACCAGGCCTTGGGTTAAGTGCTTTGTATTTCCCTTAATCTTCTCAGCTATCTTGTGACACAGTTAACGTAACTATTATAGTTGAAGAAATTGAGACACCTGTCTTATTGATTCACTTTTATCCTGTTTCTACTATTTTGTTCTTTGCCAAGATCTGAGGAGATCCAAGTTATTTCTTAGCCCACCTCAGTAAAGGGAAAAGCTGTTTATTACAAACATTGATTTCCGCCGTTGTTTGATCAACATCCTACAGCTTTTTATTAGTTAAGGAATGGGATCCATGCACATGACAATGTTAAACTTTACCTGAGCCCTGTGCACGTGGGAAACTGCTATGGTTAAGAAATCTTCTCCTTTAGTGTTCTGGGAAATGGTTCAGTACAAGGAACCACCCTTTCTCTATGACTAAGACTCAGAGATGCCTCCCTTGTTCACCTGTGACAAGGCCAAACACAGACACTCTGAATTCTCCTTCTTTGTTTCTCACAATGATTAACTGCACTGTTTGTACCCACTGACCAATCTCCACAAAATACCTGCTAATATGACCAAACATTAGTTAAGCTTTTCTCCTTTCCCAGATCCCGGGACTTTGATCCTCCCTCAGCCGGAGCCAGCATCAGGATGTGTAACAACCTCTTCTTATTAGCCCCTCCTGACAATCTGCTGGCCACAGAGAAAGACATTTCCTGCTCAACTGTCCCATCATGCTACCTGCTTATCCAAGTCCCCCATTCCTGGTTCTTTCCAGCCTGTTTCCCCCTCCCTATAAAAGAGTATTCCCTTCTGCCTGCCCTTTGAGGGGCTCACAGACTGTTGATGGAGTGTCCTCCCTGTTGGAATAGTCCTCCTCTCCCTATTGGAATAGTCCCCTTTCTCTTATTGCAACAATCCTTTTGAATAAAGTCTCTCCTTACCTAAATCCAGATTTGTTTTTATTAGATACACAGAATATAGAGACACCCACCCAGTTCCAGACTGATTCATTTTTTTCCAGATAAGAAGCAAGCAAACTGACCACAGATGACTGGAGAGCATCAATACTGACTTCAGTATGCATCATGGTGATTAATAAGTGGCCAGCTGCTTCATACAGAAGTTTCTTAGCTTCCTCATTATTGCATACTGAAGAATTTGCCTGGTTTTTGTTACCATTTCCTGGCAGAGAGCCTGTAAACCTTGGAATTTCCTAAGTGACAGAAGTGTCTTTGTTATTCACGGTGGACCCCTCTGACCACACCTGAGTTTATTATGCTGACTCATGGTGGGCCCCTGCGATGTTTTAGGATGATGCTGGCCATGTGATCAGAGGGTTGGGGCTTTGAGCCACCTGATATTAGTCTGACCTCTTGGAAGAGAATGGGGTTGGAGATTGAGTTTAATCATATCACTTGGCCAATGATTCAATAAATTCTGCTATGTAATGAAATCCCAGTAAAAACTTTGGACACTGATGTTTGAGTGAGATTTCCTATTGGTGATACACAGTGATGTGCCAGGAAGGGTGATGCATCCTGGGGACTTGGAGGCTCTGCCTTTGGGACCCTCCCATATCTCACCCTATGTGTCTTTCTTTTTAGCTAACCCTGATATGTGTCCTTTATAATAAAACTTGAATTGCAACTATCATGCTTTCTCCGAAGTTCTGAGAGATGGTCTAGTGAATTATTGAATATGAAGGGGTAGTAGAAACCTCCAAGTTGTAGCCAGTTGGTCAGAAGTACAGAAGGCTTCGGGAATAGTCCGAAATAATAATAGTCCTAAGTAGTCCTAATAGTCCTAAATTAGCAGCTGGTGTCTTAAGTGAGGGCAGTTTTGTGGGGACTATGTCCATAACCTTTGAAATTTAACCTAACTCTAGGTAGTTAGTGTCAGAATTCATTGCACCCACCCACTTGTTCCTGGTAGTGGTTTTATAATCCTCTACAGTCCTGTTTGTTTGGAGAGCAATTTAAATCACGAAGCTTCAATTCAAAAGAAAGAAGACAGTAGCATTCCTAACAGAATATACTGCTCTGCAAGCACTCCCATTTCCATAATGCTCTCCATCTGGGCGTGGAATCAAAGGAGGGAATAGGCCAAGCCCCAATTCTATCCTTAGTCTTTTATAACTCTGTACCACCAAACGACCCATCCTCCGGATCTCAGATCACACACGTATCTGCAAATAGGACTGTGGGGATAGAAGAGCTCGTGATCAATAAGTACCCACTGGCTTGCTGAACCACCATGCCTGCCATTCATAGGCCAGAATCAAAGCAGAAGTCTTCCTAAGTACAAAAAAACATGGGCCAAGAGCATCACCTGAGGGAGTCTGGCCACTGGTCCTCTGGAATACTGCTCAGAAGCTTCTGAAATGATCTAAAGAGTTCCACTTTGCTGATTCGGGATCTGTTTGGGGAAAAAAGGCAAAAACAGTATATTAAGTGTCTATAATGTACCAGGTCCCTATCAAAGAAACCAGGCTTCACATGGTGTATAGAGTTGAATGCCTGTATCCAGAATACGAGAATCACCTGTATTTGGCAAGGAGAACATCTAGACCAGGATGTCTGATCAGGCTGAGGTACCAAAACAAATTTCATCTTAAGAAATGTCATCACCAGTGGAATCATTAAAGTGACAAACTCAACTGGGTACACTGAAGCGCAATTACTAAATCTTGCCCCAGGCTATCTGGAAGACACTTTTGGCTACCTCCTTTCAAGGGAGCCGGCCTCCATGGGTAATACTGTTCACAAGAAATGAAGAACTTTGTTTCAGATTTGAATGCTGTTCCCTTTGTAAACTGTAGTTACAAAGTCCACTTGGATAAGCCCCCTGAGGCAGGATCTCCAGACTTCCCCTGTGGGCATCATGGGCCTTTGGAGGCCAAGCCTTTGCTCCCAAACAACCAACTTCTTGATGGAGGCCATGGTTTATAATACTTAAGGAAGTGAGTGTTGATTTTTTATGAGCCCAGAGAGGCCTTCTTGGTTTCTGTTCATCCATGCCAAGGGTGGCCTTGATTGTATGGGCTGCCTTTCTTTCCCTCTTGTACACAACTCATGAGATACATATAGAAATCAGGAAATGCTCTGTGTGCCAACAATGTACAGTCTCCTCTTTACAGACCATATCCTGCATCGTTGTAGCAAACTATATCCTCAGCATAGACACAGTGGACATAACTGGTATACATGAAACAGGGAATTATATGGTCTACCAAAAAGCTTCCTTACTTGGCTGGGACCTAACCTATATCAGCAATCACTGCTGTAAACGCAACTTGAACTCCACCACGCTTAATTGTGCTGGAGTGGCTGTGCCACTCAGGAATATAAAAATTCTTTAACATGAAAACAAAGCAAAAGCTAATGGAACGTTCATGAACAGATTAAAGAAGAAAAATAATATAATTATGAGAAAATATATGCAGAAAAAGCATTTGGTAGAATTCAATATCCTTTGAGTAATTTAAAACCTTTTAGCAAACTAGGACTAGGGAAGATAGTACTTAAATTCATACAGGGTATCTATAAAGAAACTACAGCAAACGTATGTCCTTAAAATCAGGAGTAAGACAAAGAAGAGCACTTGTTTTCATTCAACATTATACAGAAGGTTCTGATAAGATAAAAAAGAAAAAGGAATAAAGATTGAAAAACAAACACCAAGGCGCGCGCTGTGGCTCACGCCTGTAATCCTAGCTCTGGAGGCCGAGGCGGGCGGATTGCTCAAGGTCAGGATTCAAAACAGCCTGAGCAAGAGCGAGACCGTCTCGTACTATAAAATAGAAAGAAATTATTGGCCAACTGATTATATATAGTAAAAAATAGCCGGGCATTGGGTGGCGCAGCCTGTAGTCCCAGCTATCAGGCTGAGGAGAAGATCACTTCGAGCCCAGGTATTGAGGTTGCTGTGAGCTAGGCTGCAGCACCGGCATCACCTGCCTGGACAACAAAGCGAGACTCTGTCTCAAGAAAAAACAAAAAACACCAAGTCATTACTTGCCGATGATTGCCAATATGTCGTTCTAGTCTGCATAGTAAGACAAGAAAAAGAAATAAAAGAATTGAGGGCGGGGCATGGTGGCTCAGGCCTGTAACCCTAGCAACTCTGAAGGCTGAGGCGGGTGGACTGCTCGAGGTCAGATTCGACACGAGACTGAGCAGAGCAAACCCATCTCTACTATAAATAAGAAGAAATTAATTGGTCAACTAATATACTATAGAAAAAGATTCAGCCAGGCATGGTGGCACATGCCTATAGCCCCAGCTACCTGGGAGACTGATGGCAGAGGATCACTTAGAGCCCAGGAGTTCTGAGGTTGCTGTGCAGCACGGCTCAGACCCATGCACTCATCACTCTAGCCTGCGGCAAAAAGTGGAGACTCCTGTCTCAAAAAAAAAATTGGGATTGGGAATGGAAGGCAAACACCACAGTCTTCCCTTCAACCAACGGGATTTAAACTGTCGTTAGGATTATACATTTCTTCTTCTCCACTGCACCCACCCCTGAGATACCGCAAGGGACCACCACGCCCTTGCTTCTCTCTCATCTCAGCCTATCAACTGTGGAAGATGACAAGGAGAAGAAGCCCTTCATGATGACTCCTATGCTTCCATTTAATGAGCTAGCAAATATACTTTTCTCTTCCTTATGATTTTTCTTTTTCTTTCTTTTGTGAGAAATCCAGTTTCTGCCAGGTGAGTGCCAGACGTCAGCCTACTCAAGCAACCTCACACTCCCGGGCCCGACGTTCCTCTTGCACTCAGCCTCCGATAGCTGGGACCTATAAGCGCATGCCACTACACCTGACTACTTTCTTCTATTTTTAGTAGGACAGGGTCTCACACTCTTGTCAGGCTGGTGTTCAACTCCCTAGCTCACCAATCCACCTGTCTCCAAATAGGATGCTAGGATTACAGATGTGAGTCACGGCACCCCAGCCCCTAATTATATCATCGTATCACCAGTGAAATTTGATCTCAGTAATTCGAGTTGTTGTCAGAGTAAACATATATTGCACAGATTACAGGCGTGAGCCACCGCGCCCGGCCTCAACTGTTTATCTTATTGGTGAGGTTTATGGTCATTAGTGGGCTACTGGAAGTTAAGTTTTTGGGAAGCCAAAAGTTACATGCATAGTTTTGACTGGATTTGTCCCAAGTCACCCGGATAACAAGACAGCTAAGAACTGGGAACTTATTAGAACATGAGGAACTCCCAATGAGATAACACTGACATATAGGGACAAGCTGGATAAAAGCACTATAGGAATTTGGAGAAAAGAAAATTTTAAACCAGAAAACAGTGGTGGTAAAGCTGGGCTTTTAAAGCAAAAGAGGGTATGGACTCACAGCAAAGAAAAGCATTTCAGTTCTGAGCAACGCAGCAAACAGAAGTCACTGTTAGCCAGGGCTGGGGGGTGGACAGTATGAAGAGCTGCGAGGCTGAGGCTGTGACTGACAACAGAGACAGCTCAACAGGCAACACGTGGTCTCTGTCCCTCATGACCTGCTCTGCTCAAATACTGTGGTCTGTGGCTGATAGTTGATTTCCTAAGAAGTGCAAAAGATGAACTGAAACCAGGGAGGTTCCTAGGGAAAAACTGGTCCAAAAATCTGTGCCCCCACCAATTTTGTAAATATTATTAAATTCAACAGCCTAGGCTGCCACGAGGTAGGCAGGGTCTGCCGTCTAGGCCATCTGAACCCTGGCAGTTATCAGCTGTGAAGAAGAAAACCTTTTGTAAAAAAATTCTAAAATAGATGTAAGTTGAGTTTTGTTATTGTTTGTTTTGAGGCATGCAAATACACATCAAAAAAAAAAAGAAAATAAATCCATCTGTAAATTTTCATTACAAATGCAATTTTTTATAAGGGCATGATAAAGAAATGGAAAGGCAACTTACAGTAAAAATCTATAAACTATGGGAGTACTACAACATTAACAGTGGTAGCAGCTAAATCCAGACTGAGATGGAAACAAATACCTTTGGTAGAGAGGCCACTCCCCTGAATCCCCTCCTACCCCTGGGCTATTCTAGACCACCTCTAGCTGATTGGAGGGAAAAGCAGGGTGAGGAGATTGGCCAAGCATATATAAAGAGATACTTATAAGGCAGATGCATGAACCTCCTGGGATAAAACCTGAACTTCTCATGTCCAGCAGCTCACAAGCTCTGCTCTTCAGTAAAAGCCAATCTGAACATGTTTCCAGGTGCCCTTTTTGCCAGTACAATCACTGTGGAGTTTCGTAAATGGTTCTTGAGTTCCAACCCTGACCTATTAAACCAGAAATCCCTAGTGGTAAAACCCAAGAAAGTATTCTTTTAAAAATCTCCCCAGGGAAAACAATAGTCTTTCCAAAAAATGGTGCTGGGACAACTGTATATCCTGTCCACATGCTAAAGAATGACGTTGGACTTCTTCCTCATACTGCATAGAAAAATTAACTCAAAATGGATCAAAGTCTTAAACATAAGAGCTAAAAGTATAAAACTATTAGAAGAAAATATAGAATAAATCTTTGTGACCTTGGATTGGGCAATGGTTTCTTAGATACAACACCAAAAGCACAACCAACCAAAGGAAAAAAAAGATACAAAAATATGACTTAATCAAAATTTAAAACGTTTGTGCTGTAAAGCTGTGGTCCCCAAAGCCTGCGGGCCTGCAGACCAGTACCAGTCTGGAGCCGGTTAGGGACCTAGGAACCAGACCGCACTGTAGGAGGTAAGCAGCGGAGCTAGTGAGTGAAGTTTCATCTGTATTTACAGCCACTCTCCATTACTCGAATCACCACCTGAGCTCTGCCTCCTGTCAGATCAGCAGGGGCATCAGATTCTCACAGGAGTGTGAACCCTACTGTAAACTGTACATGTGAGGAGATCCAGGTACCGAATTCCTTATGAGAATCTAAGGTCTGATGATCTGAGGTGGAGCTGAGGTCGGGATGCTAGCGCTGGCGAGCGGCTGCAAATACAGATTATTCCTAGTATAGAGGTTTAACTGCATAATAAATCAATTGCTTGCAGACTCATATCAAAACCCTATCAGTGAGTGGCAAATGACAATGTAATAATACAAATGAAGTGCACAATAAATGTAGTACACTTGAATCATCTGAAAACCATCTCTCCACCAGCCCAGTCCAGGAAAAATTGTCTTCCATGAAACCAGTCCCTGGTGCCAAAAAGGATGGGGACCACTGCTTTAAAGGACATTATCAAAAAGTGAAAAGACAACCCACAGAACTGAAGAAAATATCTGCAAATCATATCTGGTAAAGGACTAGTATCCAGGATATATAAAAGCTTGCTACTCAACAACAAAAACACAGGTATACCAATTAACAAAATGAGCAAAGGACTTGAATACATATTTCTTCAAACTAGACAGAAAAATGGTTAATAAGTACATAAAAAGATGCTCAACATCATTAGGGAAATGCAAATCAAAAAATCATAATGAGATACCACTTCACACTCACTAGAATGGCTACAATAAAAAAAGTGTTTAAAGGATACAGGGTAATTGGAACTCTCATATATTGTTTTTTGGAATGTAAAATGGCATAACTGCTAAGGAAAATCATTTAGCAGTTCCTCAAAAAGTTAAACATATGGTTACCATATGACTTAGCAATTCCACACCTAGGTATACCCAAGAAAATGGAAAACATATCTACTCAAAAACTTGTACATCAATGTTCATAGTAGCACTATTCATAAAAGCCAAAAAGTGAAAGCAATCCAAATATCCATCCAGAAATGATATAAGTTGGATGTTTGTCCCCTTCAAACCTCATGCTGAAATCTGATCCCCAATGTTGGAGGTGGGAGGTATTTGGATCTTGGGGATGGATTCCTCATGAATGGCTTGGTGCTCTCCCCAAGTTAATGAGTGAGTTTTTACTCTATTAGTTTATGAAAAAGCTGGTTGTTCAAAAAGCCTGAGCACCTCCTCCTCCTCTCTTTTGCTCCCTTCTCTTGTCATGTGACACCTTGCTCTGCCTTCGCATTCTGCCATGAAGAAAAGCTTACTAACACCCTTACCAGAAGCAGATGCTAGTGCCATGTTCTCGTACAGCCTACAGAACCATGAACCAAATAAACCTCTTTTCTTTATAAATTATCCAGTCTCAGGTATTCCTTTATAGTGACACAAAATTGATTAAGACAAAAAATGAATAAACAAAATGTGGTATACACAATGGAATATTATTCAAGCCATGAAAGTAGTACCACACGCTACATCATGGATGTACCTCCAACATAGTATGCTAAGTGAAAGAAGCTAGATACAAAAGGTCACATATTATATTTTTCCAATTATATGAACTGTCCAGAATAGACAAATCCATGAATAAAGTAAATTAAGTAAATTAGAGGTTTCCAGGAGCTGAAGAGAGAGGGAGGGGTGAGCAGTGACTGCTAATGAATATTGGTTTTCTTTTTGGGGTGATAAAAATGTTCTAGAATTAGAGAACGGTAAGGTGTCAGTTCACAGCCACCATTTCCTCCTGCCCCAATATGCTATACCTTGCCTGAAGGCTTCCAATTCCTTTCTTTGTTGTTCCCTGTGGAAAGCCACTGGCAGTAACATCCAATGGCTGCTCAGGAACTGCACTCCAGCTGATGGCTATGAAAATAAAAGATTCTAGGGTTAAAACTGTTTAGTTTCCTGGGAATACCAGATGTATTTTACTTTAATTATATTTTTGTTTTAGGGGCAGAGTCTCATCATATGGCCCAGGCTAGATTCAAACTCCTGGGCTCAAGCAATCTTCTGCCTCAACCTCCTGAATAGCTGGAATTATAGGCATACACCAACATGCCCAGGTCAGAAGTATTTTAATAAAAATATTTCTCTGACTCTACAGACCCATACAGCTGGATATGATGTCAGATACAATGACTACCACTTGGACACTTGGCCTCCAGAAAAAGGGTACAACAGTATAAAGTGTTTCATAATTACAACAGTTAACAATTATTGAGCATTTATTGTAGGATGGACACAGAATTTCTCACTTAATCTTCATAATAACCCTGATAAATGATATTTTTCTAATCTAGAGAAACTGAGGTCAAAAGAAGATAAGTAACTTCCCAAGGGTCACACAGAACATAAAACTGACACAGTATGGGTGTCTCCAATGCCCACAGTATTGACCACTTGGTGGTAAATTGCCTTCCTAGGCTTGGAGGATGCAGACTCTCCCAGGCCACTCTCAGGGGAGAAGTTACTCCAGGGCAAGTCTAACCTCAATCTCTTTCTTACCTGCCCCACAAGGAACAAGGCGGCCTGAGCTGTCAGCCCTTTTTGCCTGCACCGCACAGCGGCTGTGTTCAAATAGTAAATCAGACTGCTGTATTTTCAGTTCTTGAACTCCAAAGCCTTTGGGTAAAGCCGATACATTCTGACACCTAAATGTGAGGGAAAATGCATTCAGTTTAGGCACATGCCTAGAGAAAAACAGTATTTAGGATTGTGGACATCATCACCCCCAAGCCTTAGTGGGATTCAAAAGCCTTAGGAAGTGTGTGGATTTGTTTTTTTGTTTTATTTATTGGGGCAGAGGACAGCCCTAGATTCTAAGAACCTTATGGCTGGAGGAAGATCCATCTCCATCAGTAAGAATCAAGTCAACACACTTCTGTGACATCAGTAACACCAAACTCCATTCCTCACAGAGATTTTGAGAAACATGAAAACTTTAAACAGAAACATTAACTCGTTGGCACCTGCTTCCTAAGGAATCCTTCAAATACATCAAAACCCAAAATTATCCTGTAACATAAAAGCTTCATTTCTTTCTCTTGTATCTTTTTAAAAAATCTTTATGGAGATATAGTTCACATACCATAAAATTCACCCCAAAAAGAAACCCTGAACCCATTAGCAGTCAGTTTCTATCCCCTTCTCTAGCCAACAGGAACCACTAAGCTACTATCTGTTTTTATGGATTTGCCTATTCTGGATATTCCACATAAATGAAATCATACAGTACATGGCTTCTTTCACTTACCAGGATGTTTACAAGGTTCATTCACATTGTAGCATGTGCCAGTACTCCAGTCTTTTCTATGGCTGACTCATGTTCCATTGTAGAGACATACTACATTGTGTACATCTATTCATCCACTGATGGACATTTGTCTCACTTTTTGGATATCATGAATAACACAGCTATGCAACATTTGTGTACAAATTTTGGTGTGTCATTTCTCTTGGATATGTACCTAGGAGTGGATTTGCTGGGTCATACCTTGGGGCTGCACATTTGACACGGGCCCACCATGCTTGCCCTGGCCATGGCTTTGCATTTGCAGCATTAATCAGGTTTGGCTGTCTCCTTTAGGAAGACCACACTTGAGTGATCACCCTTTGTCTTTTATCTTTTTTTTTTGAGTCTCGCTTTGTTGCCCAGGCTAGAGTGAGTGATGTGGCGTCAGCCTAGCTCACAGCAACCTCAAACTCCTGGGCTCAAGCAATCCTGCTGCCTCAGCCTCCTGAGTAGCTGGGACTAACAGGTGGAGCATAACTGGTATACATGAAACAGGGAATTATATGGTCTACCAAAAAGCTTCCTTACTTGGCTGGGACCTAACCTATATCAGCAATCACTGCTTAAAAGGGAACCTTGAACCCTCACCCACTGCTTAATTGTGCTGGAGTGGCTGCTGGCACTCAGGAATATAAAAATGCTTTAACATGAAAACAAAGCAAAAGCTAATGGAACGTTCATGAACAGATTAAAGAAGAAAAATAATATAATTATGAGAAAAATATATGCAGAAAAAGCATTTGGTAGAATTCAATATCCTTTGAGTAATTTAAAACCTTTTAGCAAACTAGGACTAGGGAAGATAGTACTTAAATTCATAAAGGGTATCTATAAAGAAACTACAGCAAACGTATGTCCTTAAAATCAGTAGTATAGACAAAAGAAGGCACTTGTTTTCATTCAACTTATACAGAAGTTTCTGATAAGATAAAAA